AAAATAGTTGCGATCCGGTTTTTGAGCGTCACTCAAGAGCTTGTTCCCGCATGGCTATTGAGCGATCTCAATAGAGTTAAGACTGGAAACGTGGATGACATTGATATATCCACGAAATCGAAGCGTTGCATAATTTGATCCACTCAAAGAGACCATTTACCCTTTAATTCAACTGCACGGCGGCAGAAAGGCGGGACTTTGTGACCTAATCAAGGGCGCTCGCACCCGCGACGCAGTCTGCGTCCCACTCGCGCGCCTGCTCTCTAATTATTATCTAGCCTTAATAAGGTCACAAAGCCTAATAGCCCGCCTTCTAGCCGCCAAGCCAGTTGAATCAAGGGGTACGAATCAGGCACAAAAAAATATATATATCTGGCAGGCTTTCGATGTGCTAGCCGATGTTCAATGTCGCCGTTATTTTAAGAGCCACCTAGTGCAAATGCACAAATTAAACTCCGGAATGTTGTCTCAAGGCAATCAGCCTCATTTCAGTTCTCTTGCTAATTTCTTTACTCCTTCCCTGAGTACTCAATCCACCATAATGACACATACAATTCCGCTCATAGATCGACAAATAAGCTACGGAACTTCATCGGAGTCGCGGAATTCCGCGTCGCTTCGCCATATTTTGGTTCCGAATGAAAGAATACTGAATCCAAGAATACCGTTAGACTCGGTTGGGCGAAGCGCATTCAAATTTATGAAAGTACCAGTTTGAATACAGTAGGCGGTCAGTATTCATAGATTTTCACCGGTAGGTCATTCAGTGTGTAGTCAATAAACACATTCACCGGGAAGAATCTCGATTCCGAAATTTGGCTACCTGCCTGCGCCCACCATATTAAAACAGGTACATGCACATACCAGAAAATGCGCTTCACCGAGCTGGGTCGAACGGTGCCCATATATTAAGAATTGTCCATAATGAATCGAGATATGATGATGCCACGCGAAGTTCGGTGAACTCTGGTGATTTTCGGTGATTCTTTGACAAATCATGCGCGGTTTTGTACTGCGCACCTCGTGATCTACTCTATATCGGACGCTTGCCTTTTGCGGATTTCAGTAAGCATGGCAAATACGAATGTCGTCAATGCGATAAGAATGAAATAGCTGGTTATTCAGAAACCCCATTTGCAAATATCCTGCTCTGCTTGCGGACAAATCAAGATACCCTATTTTCAGGTGTATAACCCGCACCCTTTTCACTCTAAAGGCACACACGCCAAAAGACTGCCTCTTACGATGGGGTGCGTTGAGTGAGAGCAATGTGCGAGAAAGCGACTGCTTCGCGAGGCACATGCGCAGCAGCACGCCTGGGTCTGCTCGCGTTTAGAGCAAAATGGGTGCGGCTTATACCTGAAAATAGGGTAATAGAATTCAACAAGAATGGCCGGCAAAGTCCCATCGTCACCTCCCCGCGGTGCCGGCTGGCAACGGGGACCAACCCCGGCAAACGACGAGGGCACTGTCCCGCCAGGCGGAGCGACGCGCCGGGGACTGTACGAATCAGTCGTGTCACATGCATCGGACTATTAAGGAATTTTGTCAAGCTGCTAGGGCGTCCCCCGGAGGCGACGCGCTTCATTGCCCGCATGGCGCGAATAGTGAGCTAGGGCTACCTGCCCCCGGACGAGGCAGGCCAAAGAAGCGAGTCCAGGAAATCCGACTAGCGACGATACAATATAGGAACGCTGACGAGCCGCAGTCGGGAACTATGCGATAGGCTGAAGGAACGACACGTCGACATCGCATGTATACAGGAAACGAAATGGAAAGGGAGGCAGGCAAAGGACATCGGCGACGGATATCGCTTGTACTACACGGGAGAGAGCAGCCGCCAGAACGGAGTCGCGATCATCGTCAACGGTAGATACCGCGAATTAGTGACCGAAGTGACGCGCATCTCAGACAGATTGATGGCGATGAAGATCGAAGCAGATGATGCCACGCTCCGAATAGTCTCGTGTTATGCCCCGCAAGCCGCATGTACCGAAGCTGAGAAGGACGTGTTTTGGAGGGACTTCGACATCCTGCTAAGGACATTCGACGCTGCAGACTACATCTTCGTAGGAGGCGATCTCAATGGGCACGTTGGCCACGAACACTATGGATTCAAGCGATACCATGGTGGAAACGGATACGGTCAGAGAATGAAGATGGAGAACGCATCCTGGAAGCAGCAGAAGCACACGACTTGGCGATAGCGAATACATTTTTTAAGAAGCGAGAGTCACATTTGATCACGTACGCGAGTGGACGCTCAACTCAAATCGACTACTGGATGCTGCGCCGATGCCACTTGCCAATGGTGATGAACGCGAAGGTTATACCCACGGCGACACATGCATTTGCGCCACAACACCGGTTGCTTGTATTGGATCTTCGACTGAACATCCACTTGCGGTCACGAGCCAGAAGGACGACTACAAAGAGGATCAAATGGTGGAAGCTCCCCGAACACCGCCAGCAAGTCAGAGATGCTCTTAACGATTTGAAGGTGTCGACGGATGATAAGGAGTCGATTGAAGAGCAGTGGAATCGGATTACTTCGCAGATACGGTCGAGGGCCGAGACAATCTTGGGAACCACCAAGCCAGGACGCCGGTTTGTAGACAAGCAGATCTGGTGGTGGTCTGAGTCAGTCCAGCAAGTGATCAAGGAGAACAAAGAAGCTTTCAAAGCCTGGCAACGCTCACGCTCAAATGAAGACCTCCGTCGGTATCGAGAGCAGAACTCGAAGGCGAAGCACGCAGTAGCCGAAGCAAAGGAAGCTCACTACAAGAGACTTTACGACGAGCTGGAAGGACCTGCTGGAGCGAACAAGGTCTACCGGCTGGCCGCGGCACGACACTGAGCGAAGCAGGACATCGACCACGTCATGCACATTAAGGACGCAGAGGGCAACCTCCTGACGAAGCCGAGGGCAATACTCAAGCGGTGGAGTGAATACTACAAAGGGCTATTTAATGAGGAGTTCCCGCACCCGTTAATACCGCAAGGAGCCCCCACATATGGACCGGTATCCCGGATCGAGGAGGCAGAAGTGTGCAGGCACTGAGGAAGATGTCTAGCGGAAAAGCTCCGGGACCCGACGACATACCTGCTGAAGTGTGGAAGATGATGGGGCAGCGTGGAGCGGCATATCTCACATCGCTCTTTAACCGCATTATCGTAGACGGACAGTTGCCGCGAATCTGGACTACGAGTGTCACAGTCCCTATCTGGAAGGAAAAGGGCGACGTCAGCGACTGTTCAACATATCGACCAATACGCTTGCTATGCCACACGATGAAGATCTTCGAACGAGTCATCGACGCACGCATTCGAAGTATAGTGGAGGTCACCCCGAATCAATGTGGCTTTGTAAAAGGATCTGGCACCATCAACGCCATCCACGCGGTACGATTGCTAATGGAAAGGCATTTGGAGAAACGGATTCCGATTCATTTCGCATTCCTGGATTTAGAAAAGGCATTTGATCGGATACCGCACGGGCTGATCTGGTATGCGCTGAGGAAACACGACGTCCCAGAGGAATACGTTCGCTGGATCAAACTCCTCTATACGAACACGACGGGCGCCATACGCTGTGCAGTGGGAACGTCAACGCCATTCCCAATCCAAGTCGGAGTACACCAAGGATCGGCTCTATCACCGCTTCTCTTTATACTGTGCATGGACACGGTGACCAAGGACATCCAGCTGCCGCATCCGTGGACGCTCCTTTACGCAGACGACGTCGAGCTAGCAAGCGGATCGAGACAAGAGCTTGAAGAGGCGACTGTGAGATGGAAGACACGATTAGCGGAGTATGGCCTACGACTGAACGTAGCAAAGACCGAGTACTTGGAATGCGGAGAGCAAACCGCTGGCACAATTAGCATCGATGGGCAGCCGCTGAAGAAGGTCACGATATTCAAATACCTGGGCTCCCGAGTGACGTCAGATTGCGACACGATCACTGATGCTCGTACTAGGACGAACGCGGCGTGGCTAAAATGGCGGCAAGTAACAGGAGTACTCTGCGACCGACGAATTCCGTTGTATCTCAAGTCGAAAGTGTATCGGACTGTGGTGAGGCCAGTCGCACTGTATGGAGCCGAATGTTGGCCAGCAACCAGAAAACACGAGCAGATCCTGAGCACGATGGAGACGCGAATGATAAGATGGATACTGGGCCTAACGAGAAGAAACTGCGTCACGAACGATGATGTACGACACATTTTCGGAGTTGCACCTATCGCGGATAAGATGCGAGGTGCCAGATTAAGATGGTATGGTCACGTTTTACGAAGTGAAGATAATACAGTAGCAAAAACAGCACTTCGTCTAGATCCACAGGGGAAGAGACCACGTGGCCGTCCGAAGCAACGCTGGTTGGACACCATTCGAAACGACCTGCACATTGCAAAGCTCAAACCACAAGAAGCAGCTGATCGAGTCAAATGGAACCAAAAATGCACCACCGCCGACCCTGCACCCGCGGGACAATGGCGAAGATAAAGAAGAAGAAGAAGAAGAAGAATTCAACAAGAATAGCATCACCGAAAAAATGCTAGATCACGTGATGTGTATAAGTTCCAAACAAAAACGAACCATTATCTTATTGCTTTATACACTGCAAATTACACATTCAGAAGAATGTTACATCTTTTGATTCATTGAAAAAATTTCTCTCCTATTACACATATAAATTAAGACTGTTGAAAGAAAACACCCTAAGATTTCTGCGCCAACCCAAGTAGGAGACAATGATTCAGTGATGGGTCATTAGAAGTCAATCAATCCTGTGTTAAAGTAGTGATTTCCTGTTTTTGATTTTTATAACAGCTATTAGCGTATTAAGTGTTGGCAGCACAAATGTGGAGGACAAAGAGGAATTTAGAAAAAAGGGAAAAATCAAATTAGAGAAAACTCGATCACAACCTAATGAGAACGGTACAAAAAAAAGTCAGAAAAAGGGCGAAGAGGATGAGGGAAACATAATTGTACAGTAAAAAAAAACATACAATAGTCCTAACAGTCTCATAAACGCTACCGGGACACATCTACCGCTCTCACAAAAAAGATCATTACCAACAGCTAAGTATGGTAAGGCAATATATATTTACATCACAGCTCTTCGTCTGTACCATACACTTCCACACAATACATATAAGGCAAGGTAGAGTACGATAGGGGCTTAGAATATCGACGGACAACCTGACCAATCGCCTTTTTCTTTACAGCTCCAATATGAGCCAAGATATTTGTGGATTAGCGTGCCAGTCAGTTCATCCTGTGTCTTTTGGAACCATTTCGGTTGGTATTCCTCGTAGGAGAGTCCTGGAACACCTTATAAAGAGCTCAGATGCCACAAAAAAATGGCATCCAGATCAAATACCCATCACAAGAGTGGCGCAAAAATTGCGCAAAAACAAACAAAAGTCAAATAAGGGGCGTGGCGTGAGCGAGTCAAAAATGGGCGTGGCACTAATAAGCCAAAAAGGGGCGTAAAGGGGGGGGGGGTAAAATTTAAGACAGGAGAAAGCATCATTATCTTGACATTTTGTCTACAAGAACACAAAAATTGAAACAAAATCAGGTTTGCCTCTCCAAACGCAGGTATTTTACCAAATTAATGTGGGCTTAGCTCCAAAAGCCGTATGGAAAAAAATTCATAAACTTACCCTGCTGCATGGCTTTCTCCATTTCAGATTCTCTTCGTCTTCGTACTACACGTTGTTTCTCTTCTAATTCTAGTTTCTTCCTATTAGCCTCATCCCATCTGCAAATGGAAATCCATCAACCATAAAAAACATTCATTATCTCAGCATTAAGACCATAAAATATCATAATTTAGCCATAAAAAATCATTGAAACCACTAACCGGCCCTCTTCCATCAATCGTTGGTCTGGTCGTAATCGGCTGTCTGTAGGGGCTACACCTGGTTCCGGTTCGTTAAGTTCAACAGCCAGTTTTGTGAAATTGTGCATTCGCTCGGCACCGGGACTAAAATGAGGGATCGAATGCAAAATATTCAAAGATAACAGAATAAATGTGGAAAATTTGCAGTCCGAATTGAACGAAAATTAAGACAAAAATCAATCGATATAAAAAGTCTTACATGGGTGGATTCACGGTCCAAATGCGCTTGGGCTCTCCCAGATCAATCTTGGCTTTATCGCCGGTTCCAGAGCTTCGCAGGACTTTGCAAATATCCACGGCCTTGTCCCATGTACCTTGTACGACCATTTTAGGTTCTCCGTCTGGGTTTTGTACCACACCATATATCTGCAACAATGACTAAATAACGTTTGAAAAACGGAAGGACGAAGAAGGAAAAGAAGTAGGCAGATCAAAAAACCTTGAGTTTCGAAGTAATAAATCCTACCTTTCGAGGTGTATCACGGCTAAAATATGAATATGGGAAGAATTTCACTATGCATTTATCACCAGTACCATGATTGATGATTTCCATATCTCCATGATTATCGATCCACAATTTACCAACAATTATATTGTGTACAGTAGTGGTAATCTTAAACAAAAACGTTATCAAACCTTCGTAAACAAAAATCAAAGATACCCACCTTTTTATATGAATAGTGATTTTTAGAGCCTGGAAAGTACACGTGCGTGTAGCCTACAGGTATCACAGATAGGTATTTGCCACGGAATCGGCTAGTCATCGTAAAGTCCTGGTACATTACCCAACCGTTACCTTCAGCATGATGCGCAGCGGCAGGAGGATGATGGGAGACCTGCAAGAGCGAGTCTAAGCATCTTATATACCTGATGATCATTAAAATATATACAGTGAGTATAGCGCCACACTTCAAGGTCCTTTTGGAATTTTCTGAAAAAAGAGGCGGGGTGGGAGACCAAAGGGACCAGGACAGGGCGGGCAGGAAGGACCACAATGTTTTGATTTTGACCGGCTATTTAAAGAATTGTTAACCATCAAAATATTACACATTAGTATAACGTCATGAGAATGCCTCTTTAAAGTAAGTTTTCCGAGGAAAGGAGGGGCAGGAATTAACAGAAGAGGCCAAAACGGGGCGTGGCAGGGACGACTGTAGACTGGGACTGTGATGGCAGCGCTCAAAAACTGGGGCTGCGCTCTCACCCCTGCTTTGGTTTATGTTTCAACGGTTTCCGGACAGCAATAAATTGAGTCAAGTATACGTCGAGATACGGTAGGTATACGGTAAAGCCACGGTAGAGACTCAATACTAAGCAAACTTCCGCAAACTCTTACTTGTTCAGTGATACTTCGCCATCCCAGATCAGCAGTACGATCGAACTCGTATGTCTCGCCAAGCAGTGGATTAAACGGCTTGTTTGTGCGGTTTCCAGTAGTTGAGTAGTTGCTGACCGCATAGGCAGCAACATACGCCATTTGTTCGAATGGCTCCTGAAGAGAAACTCCAAACTTCCATCAGCAGAATAAAAGAGGTGCTGTTTACCAGAGAAGAAGCCGTCTCCAATAACGATGCATATTCTAAATCTTCGGTAATCCTCTGCAGTACGGACAACGGTTCACTGAAGTTTACCTGAAACAACCGGATAAGTAAGATCAACCCCTTTTTCCAATTCATTCGCTTGAAAAACTCACTGGCATCGGAATTTTCGACAACTCTTTGCCAATGCAATTTTTCATTATCGACCAGAGATTAATGGGAAGATCCGGTCGATCCGGGACGGTAGTTCGCCGCTCGCGGCCAGCCCGCGCACGATTTTTGATAGAGTTGTTGGACATGAACGACGAAGGCGCAGTTGCCATACTAGCATCTGCACTCGGTGGTCCGTCATTCAACGTCGAAAACGGTTCCGATACCGAATTTCGACCCGAGTCATTTCTTCTGGAATGGAAATCATTAACTTCCTCAATTTTCAGCGGGAAAATCTCTAGATCTAAAATTTGAAACTAATAAGATTAAATGGATCAACAAGGTCTTTCTAGCTTACAATAAGTTCGAAATATCGCTTATTAAGGCCCAAAATGATTGCATGTGTGAGCATTCAAGTCAAGTTCCAAATCCTGAACATGAATATGAAAAATTGGTAGGACGTGCATTAAGCAATGGATGTGACAGAAGTGTTTAACCCGGTATAAATGGAATACTCTAGAAGCTCCACGAGAAACAAGTAAAGCACAAGTACTGCATTAGCAAAGAGATTTCTTATATAGTAGTGTCCAGATACCACCAAAAATGTGTTCAATCGATACTGTTTCGCAACTCAATCTCCAAAATCTTCACAAAAAATTGTTTTAGCCAAAACTGGCAACTGTTGTTAAAAAGGTACCTGTTTTATGAAGTTACCTAGATGGAAAAACTGATTTTCCAAAGTTTAGAAACAAAGGTTCAAAAATCCAATCATTTCATAAAGTAACCGTACTCCACCAAGAGATATACCCCTCAGCCGATGCAAATTAGAAATAAGGTGATTTAGGAATAATAGGAGAAAAAATATTTTATTCACAAAAAAATGTAATTCTTTTGAGGAGTCAAATTTGTTCAATTTTTTAATGAACAGATCAAAATGGAAAAGAACCCTAATGAATAGTAGTAATTCCAAAGTTCTAGCAAAAAATTCGGTGCTTTGAAATATATTGTGCGCCAATGTATTGATTATTTACATTCAATAACTGAACTATAGACAAAATGCCCTTCTTGCCAACTAATAAACGGCAACTGTTTCAGTAACAGAAACATAAAAGAAAGAAAAATTGCCCAAAAATGAGAGGAAAATGGATGAATTCAAAAAGGAGAAAGAAATAGGAAACTAATGTATTTCATCACCATGCATGCTTTTGGTTCGATGAAACTATCGCATCATCAGTTAATCTCCTCCTGCCACGAAGCTAAGACGTCGCATAATCCCCCCTGAGAATCGCAATCGGACCAATCCGAATGCAAATCTGCATTTCTTACTTCATAATAATTCAGTCTCTGCCTAGACGAAAAGCAAACGGCATCCTTTCCAATCAATAAATTGCTATTTTTACCATGACAGACAGAACAAGATAGATATTCCCATTAACAGAAAAGAGCAGCAAGCTGCTCAAGCTATATTCTAGATCAAGAGAGCAATACTTGTCAGCGTTGGCTAATAAATTCCTGCCTTATGCAATAGCGGTAGAGAAACGATTGTCATTCAACATGAGAAATGTTTATTCTGCGCAAATCGATGTCAAACAGCGGTTTGACTGAAGGGTGCGAACATCAAGTACAGAAAAAGAAGGGTTGAAACGAAAGTAAATATGATTTTTTCTCAGCTAAAGAAGAGATGGAGGGGGAGGGGGGGGGGGGGCGGGAGAGGCGAAGGAATGACAAAGTGCGGCCGCTTCATGTATATGATCGTGACAGAAAATCAAAACTCTCGCCCACTACAGTACCGGATGATGCTGATTAGTTAGGCATACGGTACTGGGCGAGAATACAAAATTGCTTCTCTCGCCATAATTGAAGTATCCTAACTTGCCTCAACACGTGGCCTTTAGGATACCGATGTCGTTATTGGGTCAGTGAAGACCGACTTATTTCCAAAAAACTTTTGAATGCGCATTTCTAGTATGAACCCTCTACTTCCCGACTTCTCCTCCACTAACAGAATCATTTTTAGCTGATGGCAGTAACAAGTTAAAAAATACAATATAAAAATCAAGAACAATCAAAATATGAAATTTAACGTACCTGAACTCAACTATAGATAGGTAGCGCATTCGAACTAACAAAAGGTGACAAAAGACCCAAAGGAGTGAGAATCAATAGTTGAGGTTTCTATGAAAAACTCTCACTCCGCCAAACCGGTCCTAATAATTTTCTTGAACTACGGTCTATGATTCAACGAAAAATTATTCCAGGTACGAAAGACTAACTCATTCGCGAAAATTTTCTCCAGCACACTTTCAAAAGACATACTATGCATTACTTTCACTTTCCTTTCAATTATAGCACATGCATTGCCGCAGAACTTTCCAGTTTTTCACTAAACATACAGCGCACAATGTCTGTCGATCAACGAGCAATTTGTAGTGAATTGGGAAAAGAGAGGAGGGGGGGGGGGGGCTTAGTCAGTAACGATTACAAAGCCTGTGATGGGGAGTGCATCACTTGTTGCAATGTCAGCGATGAATCACTTCTGTCATTCACAAAGCGCATTAGGGGCTCGCGAAAAGGAAAGGGAAGGTGAAAGAGGGAAGGAAACAGAAAAAGAGAACTCTGAAAACCGTTCTAGAAAAGTTGATAAACTGGGTTTCTTAGGTGAAAATAATCGGGAAGCCTTGAACTAAGCCATGACAAAGAGACAGCTCATATAATCCATTTCCAATTCGACTCTAAAGTCTCGCCCAGACCGTGCTCTTCCGAAACGACCAATCGGAACCATGCATACGGTAGAAAGTACGGTACTGGGCGAGAACGGAGTTGACTTTCTTTGTCAAGAATGGTTATAATGGTCTGTTGTTTCAACGACGCTTCAATTACATCCCTGATCGCAAACGAGAAAGGAGGGGTGACTGAAGGAGAAGGGAATGTGCCGCCAAAACATTGTCCAAGCAAATTTGGATGGCTGGTTTTCTGGAAACTGACTGAGAAGCCTTGGCTAAGCCGTTGGCCAAGCAGCAGCTCATATGATTCATTCGTAACCGGAAAATTCAACTCTGAATCTTCGCCCAGACCGTGGTTTCCTCAACCATTGCAGCGGGTACGGTAGTTGGCGGGAATTCAAACTTAAATTTCTCGGTCACAAATAAATCAAATGAGCTGCCGCTTGAGCTACCGGCTTACTTACGACCTTCAACAATTTGCACATGAAAAATCCAGACAACCAAACTACCTCAGATTATAACAAAAATGCCTGTATCCTCACAGATATGGCAAAAACCGACAAGAATAAGCCAATACCAAAGATAAACGTACTACAAGGCAAGCTATGAATCAATACCAGCAAAGGGAGACAGAAATGTGTTTCACAGCGACATGCTGCCATTTGATAAAGTGCATTCGGTGAATAAAAAAGTGCACAAAAAAAACTCGTGCAAATAGCTCGGGAAACAACCCAAGCATGTGGAATTATCGGCCATAGTTTCAAAGTGCATTCAATTAGGGTCAGTTTGGACACAAAAGATGCATAGAGAATGAGCAAGGAAACGGCAACAGAGGAGAATGCAGGTGCAGGATGGATAAAATTTCGAATTTGATGAGCGAACAAAATTGTCAAAAAATGAATCCAAGAAGCTAGATAACCGACATTCTATGACAAAATACGAAGGGGGGAAACTATCGCTAAATTCAACGCCAATATGATCGACGTAATTCGAGCGCAAATCACAGATAAGATGTTTACAGCAGCGAATCATCAAAATATTTGATTTGATTTCAGCGGCAGCAGATAATGGTAACAACTACCAAGCAACGCAAATTTGCACTGAAAAACAAGATAGATAGATATTAGTAGTTTGTTCTATGTAAAAATCAAAAAACATAGAAATAAAGACTTTTCACTTCAGATTTTGCAAAAAAAAATCAAAACAAAAAGAAGAAAAATAGGCATGGTTTTCACATGAGTATGGCCTTAAATGATCTACTCACTTTGAGCTAGCAAAACTTTGTAAAGAAAACTATCCAGCAAGAAAAGATGGGCGGAGTTTCCACTGAAATAAGCGTGCAAGACTCCTCGCCCTCCCCCCCCCCCCCCCCACTATAACGGGAAAACTCGAAAACACTCTAATTCAAGAAAAAAACGTAAAAACTAAACTTGATAAAACAAAACATCGATAGCTCTATTCAAAAATCTTCCAATAGCTGGACCACGGCGGGTCCCGAAGCGAATGCTTTTCCAAATAGCACCTTTTAGATTACTGGTTCACTAGTCGGATTTGAAAAACTACTAAAAGGCAAAATAATGGGCGTAGTTCCCTACTCCATTCAGACAGCTGCGAACACCAAATACGGCAAAATTTGAAACTAGCAGAATTTCTTAGAAAGTCACGAACTTCCGCAGAACCATATGGAAAACTGGAAAACTAGACTAGCATACAGAACTAGCGGAAATAGCGGAAGGAAGCAGTTGAAGCGCAGAACGCATAAGAGAAAACGCAAACAACGTTAAAATCAGCACCGAATCCAATACTTTCCACATGGCTTACAATTGCTGTGTAACCAAACGAAAAACGACAAATAATTGACTAGCTCGGCTCAGCGAAGCGGAAAACGGCTATATGAAATTCTGCGTCTGTTCCCTACACATACATTATTCAGACGTCATGAAAATCGATAAATATATTAAAAATCAGAAATGCATGGGAGTAGCACACCAGAAACAATAAAACTAACGGCGGTAGCTTATCGATCGTTGACAAACTATGTCCTCTAACCGATTTAAAAGAACACTTCAAGAGGGGGGGGGGGGGAGTGATTAACACATAAACACACACACAGCACGCTACCATGGCCACCGTCCATGGTAGCGCGCTGTCAACATTGGGGGACATAGTGCGAAGCGGTAATGGAGGTGAAAGGGGCGATATAGACGAGTCCAATACTCCCCCCCCCCCCCCGCATTCAGTGCGCGAACAATAGCACCAAAGCGCAGAATGAAAATGTACAACAAGGATACTTGCAACTGTGGATGTAAAGTGAACTGGAGAGGAGAGGGGAGGAAGGGGGGGGGGGGAGATCGAGGAAGAAGAGATAAACAAGGAAAGCAGTTATGCGCATCACGACCGCAGTTGTCCATGCAAAATAAGCCCAGGGTTAAGACACACAATCTTCTAAGCCATGGGGGAGCTTATCGATCTCGAAGAACGTAGATGGCAATGCTAGATGAAGCCAATGGGATAACTTATGCATTTGCAGCTGTCACAAAGCAGAAACGTTTCAAAGTCCTCGAGTTAAGCAGGGGACGACTTGGGAATAAACTGGATTTCTCATTTGGCCAGCAACTGGGAAGTTTGGAGCAAAAGAATCGATTTCTAAGACAAAGGGAGAAAGTATTCCGGTTCTAAAAACGGACATTACTGCGTCTCATAGTGGATATAAAGAGGGAGAGAAAGGGAGCACTTGAGCAAAAATTCGGAAAAAAGTCTTCCCAAGGGGCGTGGCCAGAACAAAATCACATGTGAGGTTCTTCCAAATTCGAAAAGATTACCTTAAACAATGTACTTCTGCTTGATCGACACCAAAAATCGCATCATTAGCCGTAAAACCCGCAGTAGCGTCCAAAGCACTAGGAAAATGGGAACAACAGTTCTCGTGTAAGGCCCCGGACAGACTTCACGCGATTTGATCGTCGCGACTGAATCGCGACGAGACAACTGTTACAACATCATTCCGTGCCGATCAACTTGCATTTCGGTTGTGATACTTTTACAGCCCGAAATTTTTGAATGTGAAATGAAAATGAATGGAAATGTCGGCGATTGAGTCGCGACGATCAAATCGCGTGAAGTCTGTCCGGGGACTAAAGAGGAACTTTTTTTGCCAAAAATAAAGCAATCATTATAGCACTCGATTAGAAAAGGATTGCGGTGAGATAATCGATAAAAATAGGATGGATTCAGAAAAATCTCCTTAAGCCAGACAAGCACGTGCACTATCTCATGTATAAATCACTGCTTTAAGAATAATTATGTTCGTGCCTAGGCAACAGGCAATTTTATGAGCAACATGTTTTAAAGTACAAAGAAATAGTGAGAACACTTTTTCCTATCGAGTCGCATATTTCTGCGAAAATCATAAGCAGAAAATTAGAAGTGCATTATCTGTAGAAACTTTAAATGAAGAAAATTCTAGTTGAAGAAAATTCTAGTTTCCCTAAGTATCGATTTAGTGCTAGACAAAAAAAATCTATCTGATCTCTAGAATCCGAACAAGTTTTTTGGATCCAATATGTAAAGATACATAAGCGCAATTCAAAAATTGCAAATAGCGGGAAACCGCGTGGCGGCCCCGAAGCGAACGCTCTTGCAGATAGCACCTTTAGATTACTGGTTCACTAGTTCAAATATAAGGTATCATTTGTTTCCTCGTGAGATCGACAAGGTTATTCGTAAGCTAAGACATTGCAAGAACGGCTACCTTTTTCTAAAATAACTAACTCCCTTCATGCTGCAAAATGCTTTTTTTCAATGGTAGTGCATTGCTTGGAGAAGCATGCACTGAATTTTGTAAGCGTGTATTAGGGTGTGTCATAATTTTTTATCGTTTTTATCTTACACATCAGCATTTTTCGAGAACTGGGGCACCTACAAGGGGTACAAATACATGATTGTACTTCTGTATGTATGAGCCAATGGCGTACCGAAGGGGCCCCCTCCCCGAGAAGGGTCGCGAAATTTTTGAAAGTTACGTGATTTATAAAAATGTGCAAGAGACTTATTTATACTTGTAAGTAATTAAAATAATTTTTAAAATTTTTAGAAATTCAATTTAGCGATGCCGCGCCCCCTTTTTCTAAAATTTTGGGGTTGTGGGCCCACGAAAATTTTGAGAAGCATACCAAAATATTTTCTGTTTTGCGTGGCTAACGCCAAGCATGCGCAGCAACGCCACCTTCATTGAAAATTTTTGTCGCGCCTCCCCCCCCCCCCCCACTGGTATGAGCTATATGTCATGTGCGTGGGAGGAGCTCAAGATGTCAAGGGGGGAGTTTGCCATTTTGCCCCATTCATTTTTCTCCTTTATTTCTAGCCAAGGGAAAAATACGGAAATTGTACAGTTGAATGTGTACAATGTTAAGCATATGCTAGGGTAAATGGGGAATTTTTAAGATTATTTGAGGCGGAGATACGATGTCTAACGGCAAAGCTTTTTCGACAACCATCAGATTTCAGCTCAAAACCTCTCGTGGGATACAATTTGGGCAGACCTTTAATAACCATTTCGTAGAGCTTGCTTTGCCCTGTCGAATGAATACTCAAGAAACATTAAATGAAGTAAAGAACAGAAAGACGACGGTTGCAGTAAAAACAATAAAAAAATTATGAGGCACCCCAATATTTACAGCTTAGCGCTCGGAACCATTAAACTACCCCCTTCTTCAAAAATGGCAAAGCACAAATCACATTTTCTTTTCTAGCCATAAAATCTTCGCATGACTAATCACAGGGAACTTCGGAGTACGCAAAAGGAAACATAATTTGCGCCATAACATTGAGAAAAACTCAGAAAAAGCAAAGCACTTCCCTCAGCGTTCCGCAAAGAACGAAACAGGTTTGATGACTAATGATATTTCAATGGTGAATGATGAATTAAGTGGTTACTCTCAGAGAATGATGAGAACAGGAAGTTAAAAAATTTGGGAAGGATGAGATGAACATACTGGCTAGTTATTCTAAAAATGCGATAAAAGATTTACCAAAGAGTGGCATCGGCATGCTCAGGTTCAGAAAACAAAGCAGCATAAAATATAGGTCTAAGCGCTTACGGGAGGAAGAAAATGAATTATGCACCTACCATGTGAAAGAAAAAAACCTATACATACCTTGATCCAGAAAGACTCAACTCTTCAGCAGCATCATGGAATTCATCTTCCATATCGTCACTGTAGGCCGACACTAAAAACAAAGTATTAGCCCGAGAGAATTTTTCAAGAGTAATTGTTGGAAGGAATGCGAGTTTCTCAAGCATGCTATTATCGGCAACTTTATGCAACGTCTAGATCATCTGTAAAAAACACTGTTCAAACATGGTTTGGCTGTCAAAGTGTGTCTATTTGCTATGAAAGTCTGTGCAAACAAAAATTCACAATGTGCTCATGTGACATAGTTCACCGAATTTGCAAGCATCTCAACAAATATTTTCGTCAAAAGGAGCTGAAAGGGGAATTTGTTGAGCAAGATGCTCAATATGCGGAAGATGTTCGGAATAGGGCTCGGCACAAGCTGGCACCAGGGAAATTTTAAAACGAAGTCGCGTTTGATTTTGAGAATTTCGTACGAAGTCCCCTTTGACCTGTTTTGAAGGTCCGTCATTAATTTTAGCTTATGTGAAAGTATGTAGTAGGGTTTTCATACATGCTGATTTCATGGAACAAGTTTTCACAGTTGATTCACTCTTGAGAAGCAGAAAAAGCCGATTTTTCGACTGCGGAGCAGACAGAGTAATTTTCATATATGGCTATAAAACGCTGAAAAGAAAACATTATGAAATTGTTTCTTCTCTGTATGTAAATGTTTACAGTGTAGATGCATTTTATGTAAAAAAAATATGAAAACTTATGCGAGCAAAGTGTCGGTGCCAGCTCAGCTGGCACGGTGCCAGCTAATTCAGAAAAAAGTTCAGCACAGCTTTCATTCACATAAGTTTTCAAAAATGTTTGGGCCATAATTCGGGTCCTCCAACGCGCATGCACACACCAAATTTGGTGTCATACTATTGCGTTTTGGCTGAAACAACGCCTTTATTTGCTTGGCGGACAGCATGCTGGTTGCATGCCGGCGGCATTCTTGCGGCTGTTCTCCGCTCCGGACCCCGGAAAAAACGATACCCCTTTGCTTTCCGCCCTAAAAACGATATCCAGCTTGACCCGGTGCCAGCTGTGCCGAGCCCTGGTTCGGAATTTGTGGCAAAGGTATGGTATCAAATAAAAAATTGAATTTTTGAAGTAAAACTGGACTTACATGGAGGCTTAGTGATCATGTTATCTGTAAGTGCAACTCTTTCCAGGTTGGAATGCTGCTTGGCTAGCGTTTCTAACTGTTCCTGAAAATACGGACACAGGTACATGATAAAAACAAAAAATATCAATTTTTCCCCAAAAACTTGACGATAACGTCGTCATAAAAAAAAACAGCCAAAAACCGACATACATGAAAATCTAGCAAATGTCCTCACCTGTAGTAAGACTTTCTCTTTTTGCTCTGTGATGACAACTTTACCCATTCGTCGAGAACCACGATCCGACACCTCGACAAAGTCTTCGGCTGCTTTCAATACCGCAGAAATTGTGATCTGTAAATTAAACTTTTTCCTTTCATAGCAGTTTTATGATGCGCGAATATAAAGCGCCTAATAAGCTGTTTACCTTGAGCAAGGCCGCTCGCTCTGATAACGCTTTTCTATCGATTTCAGGTTCGTTCACACATCGAATCAAATCATCACCACTTTTCTCTGAAAGGAGAAGCTTCAACAGAATGTACAATTGCAAAAAAAAAACAATTATAATTGCTCACGAAAAACTTGCAAAAAAGAATCCGTAAAGTGTCTTCTTCTTCTAGCAAAAAAAAGCACACTTCAAACGTAGGCGTGCATATTTACGATCGCGACGCAAAAAAAGCGGAATCAACGTGAGAAAGTGATTACATCCTCGATGTAAACAGACACTTTCGGACTCTTTGTTGTGTACAGTGCAATCTGAGGGAGCTGCACAATATAAACAGCCGATAATGGAAAAAAATGCACCAATCAGCATACTGTAAAGGGGGTAAAATGGAACTAACCTAATATTCTGGCGGCTGTTTGCAGGTCAGCAAGTTTCTTGAGCAACTCTTTATGAGTTTTCTGTAATACAGATACCCGTGATTCACCAAAGCCAAGGTGAGCTTCTTCATCTTCGTCTGAAACAAAATAGATCACCTTAATTGAAGAAAAAAAGGATGTATAGTAGATGAAAGAAAACCATGTTTTGAGTAGAGATGAAGCCAAAAATAAGAGGCTAAACGATAACAAACAAAATGACGTGATTTTATGATGTAGTAAAAAACTCTTAATGAAAACCATATCTCACTCTCAAGCAATGACTCGTAAATTGACAATTACAGAAATTTATTAATGAAAATAAACCTAGCAAATTTATTTATAGAAATTAGAATGAAAGAATGAACAAGATAATAATAGAAATCTTACCACTCTCAGCTTGTTTTATAGCTCTATGTCGTGAATATTCCAATGCACTCAGCCATTTTTGTCGATCTACATCATTCAAAGCTTTCAAGTGGAATGTTTGTGATGATGCTGATATCACAATATTATTTGTTACCTGGAAAAGTACGTGTCAGCACCAGATATCGTATGCACAAAAAAATACATTGCAACACAAATCATTCATGATAAGCCAACTACGTGTAATAAAAAATGATATGTAAGCAGCTTAGTGCAGACAACGAAAAAAACCTGGCGTACCTTATCAGAAAGTATACGGGCCTCTTGAAGATTGATGCTTCCGCGACATGACTGTCCTACCTCGCTGGGATTTCTGCAAATAAACAAATAAAATGTCGAATAAAACTAGAAAAAGAAAACTTCACAGGTCCACTTATATATGGTATTTTCCTCAAATTTTTAGTCCTGCTAAGTTCAATGTTCATTTCTTAGCACTGTTTGGGCAGCAAGTACTTTTTTGAAAAAGAAGATTGTGAGTACCAACGATACTTGTTGACTCACAAAGTGGCGGTAACAACTTGTTCTCGAATTGTCATGTAGCGATTGAGGGTTTATGCGATAGTTCCACACATTCAAGTCTTTTATACTCTTTTATTACAAGTTCGCCATGGAAATCGCAGTAAGTAAACACAAATCATGTGAAAAAGACGCTTACAACCTTGCGCCATATTGAGACTGCCTAAGTTTCATCAGAACTGATCATCTTAGGTTTAAAAAAAGTTTCATGAAAATGAACATCTTTTCGAAAAACATGATACTTCACTCTGATTAGGCAAGTCAAGGTTTGATGAAAATGCTGGACTACCGTAACAAGATGTCTCATTCTCAACTCTAAGTGGCAACAACAAAATTATTCTATGCTAAAAATTACGATTTGCAGCCACTAATATTTCCCCCAAAATTGTAGCGAATTAAATGGGGGGTACTAAGAAACCCCTCAAAAACAGATGCACACCACTTACGAAAAAGAGACTGAAATATCTTTGTTGAAAAATAATTTGTGCTTTTATTGAGTTCCAGTATGACAAAACAAATGACGCTCTACAAGGTGATAGAATGAATTGCCTGCAAAGTAAAAAATATTAGAAACTTTTAATTTAACAACAGAAAACACCCTTAGGGACTACGTTCCATTGTATATAAAGATTTTGTTTTTCCAGTTTTTTCAACATTTTCTCCACGTCTTATGATGCAATTAGCAGCCGCATGGACAACCGTTACCTCAAAACATAATATAACAGCTACAAATGCTTCATAAAGGTAGAAAAAAATAACCAAAAATTGGATAGTTCATGCCGTACTAAACTTGTATTAACAGACATATGAAAAGGGATAATCCGCTGTCACCTTCCCCTTATTGCATTTGCTGGCGTATCTGTGACTAGATGACTAAGCAATCGGGGCAAAATCTGATTAGCAGGGAGTAAGCGATGGAGCAGAATGATAGCGATAAGAAAGGAGATAAAAAATGGAGAATGAAAAACCATCACAAGATGAGACCAGTAGACTTTAAAAAATACAAATAATAAAGGAAGATGATGAAAAGAAAAAAAAACATGAATTGACTGCCAAAACTCACTGATGATTTCTAGCCGACATGTACACCTCAGCTTCATTGCTTAATTTTCGAACTCGTCCTGACATTGGAAAATAACATGCTGTGAAGCGTTTACGAGCTTTGCGAAGACGTCGACGCAGGCTGGCCATCTCAACCCCGACAGCCAGCGAAGAGTGTATCCTTATCACTCAACGCTACTCTCAAACCGCTGACGTCGAATATGGCAAACGCGTAGAGCGGGAACTAAACAGCCCCGCACAGCGCCTAGCGATCAAATCGAAGACGCTGGGCCGGGGGTCCGATCCTGAATAGTTTTACCGCATCCAAGACCAAGACAAGACCTCGGCTGTCATGATGAACTCGCGAACTATGAAGTAGGCGCTTGGGAATGGGCGAAAAAACGCGAATGACAAACGACTGCGCCGACCTTGAGTCAGCCTCAGCGAGAACTGCACAAAAGTTGAGTGTGTGTGCACATGCACTCATACCACTCGAGAATACACCAAATCATGAGAGGACACCGTAATCAATAATGGAGGTCGAATCGAATCGACAGCGCGCGGATTGATAGTCGTGAAGTCGTCGATCATAATCGGATCGAGTTTTGTTTGAACATACCGACACTGCGACCGACACGGCCGCAGATACAGCGATTCGACTATGATGAAGACGATACGCCGCTGCGACGAATTGTGCTACGGACGACGACGCAACATAGAGCGCAACGCAGCAAATAGCGATGACGAGCCGGCTGCGCGCGGCCGCTTTTGGCGGCCGCGGTTCGAACCTGTCCTCCCACTTCGAAATGATTGAAATAAAACCGTTAAATGCGATGAAAAACGGCCGTCGGCATGTTCAGCACTCGATCTCGTTAGCAAAAACTATACGAATTGTTAGTCATTTGTTTAGAACGATGAGGCCGGGGCTTTTATTGATGAGAAATCGATGCTTAGTGGCTTCCGACTTTTTCATGATCTCCAGGCACGAGAGTCATCCAAAGGCAGTCATCCAGCTGATGCAAGAAAGAATTACCGTAGTCCTTCAGTCGTGATTCGTTACGCTACAGTAGGAAAACTCCAAGAATGTCACACAGAGCGGAAAAGAAATGCTAAAATGTACCAGATCGGCTCTGGAAAGCAAGTTCTACTGGTAACTTCGTAAATACGTCGTAATAGAGTGCGACAATTGCTAAAATGACGACGTTGATGTTGAATGTCGAGGAAGTCACAAGCAAAACCTTCCAAAGTCCAAAACTCTACCCATTCTACTTCAGCCGGCGTTTTGTATTCCTGGAGACTGAAGACGTATGTAGCAGATAAGAAGAAACTGATAAACCACTTTGAGTAGTCATTCCGGTACCGAGCCCAAATTTCCATAAACTCGAAATTTTTGTAGTATATGGGGCATTCGAAAAATCGTGACGATGCGCGACCGCGCGCGACAAGCACGCATTCCCGGCAGCCGCATTTTCTCGGTTTTCATCTCTACTCAGTGGCTTTTCTGTTTACATACGAGATAGTATTTAGGCTATGAAAGTGACTGAGTGAGAGCAGAGGTGAGCCTTTTGGTATAGATGTTTTCCGCTCACGTAAGCGCAAAGACCGCAGCCAAATCCACCGTTGATTGAATGAACGTCATGATTTATATAACTTTCCTAAGATAAGCTAGGTGTATGGGTAGCGATTATCGGTACCAAAAACCATACATTTGATTATATCTCTCCAAACGCGATACGATCCATTGAAGCTTAAGGTTGATATAGTGTACCTGTGCTGCCGACAACATTTGCGCGTAAACAATGGCTATGGGGCGCTACAACAACCATTTGTCACGCGCAGGTGTTGTCAGCACCGCAGGCGCACCAGATTTATGGTGTTAATCAGTCCTAATAGTCTACTCATATTACTAATCAGCACTTTTGAGAAACCTGCAAACTTCCAGTACAATGTTGATTTTAACTCTCCAAACATATTGCCCACTGTCAATCCCCCCCCCCAAAAAAAAACCCATTTCGAATGAATGAAACACTCATATCGATTACAATGTTGTATCCCTACGTCAACAAAGTAAGAGATATCGTAATTCCTGGATATTTAGCAAAACAGCGAACTTTCAGGACAAATCAAAGTCAATAAGTCTGCCCTTCTGATCTCTTTAGGGAAACTTCATTACAATAATACTGAATAATGTTGGCATCACATGAAATTATAGTACCTCTGGTCTTGCGAAAAGTACCTGTATAATCGTAAAAACTACAAACCGCTCAAATTAGGCCCGTATGCACTTACATCCCCGCGGGGAGGGGAGGGGATCTGATAGGGCAACGTCATATCTCGCTAGTCTATACATCTTTCTTTTTCTTTCTATGTCTTATTTTTGAAGGTTCTCATACAGTGATACTTGCGCATAATGTATGCCAGGTTACTGCCATACAAGGTTAGATATTCACTATTTCGTCTGATCCCCTGGGGATCCCCAAGGGATCACCTCACAATTTCAAAGTCATTTATCTTCCCGAAAACTCGATGAAAATGCTCCAAATCTGTACTGAGGATATACTAAAGCACTGCTAAACATGTTTATGATAGAAATGAGTGAAATCTCAAGATATCAAAATTTTCGATGAACGGCTGCTCGCGAGCCAAGGATTATCGAAAAAATCAAATTTTTCAGATTCCATTTCTTCTGTCGAAAACATGCTCAGCAGTACCGTAGTATATCCTCAGTACAATTTAAGAGCATTTTCTTTGAGTTTTCAGGAAGATAAATGACTTTGAAAATGTGAGGTGATCCCCTAGGGATCCCCAGGGGATCAGATGAGATAGTGAATATCTAATCTTATGGCAGTAACCTGGCATCCATTATGCGCAAGTATCAACGTATGAGAACCTTCAAAAGCAAGATAGAGAAAGAAGGAGAAAGATATGTAGACTAGCGAGATATGACGCTTCCCCTCTCAGATCCCCTCCCCTCCCCGCGGGGATGTAGTGCATACGGGCCTTAGGGCCGCATGCACTAACATCCCCGCGGGGAGGGGATCGCAGCTTAAAAGAAAGCTTTATATTTCGAAACTCCAGATACCTGGATTTCACGTTGTGTACCTATCCGTAAGTATTCCTACTATCCTTCGCTATGAACATGTTGAACAGGAGCGAGAAGCTGTACGAACCGCATTTTCCAGCTTTTGTATGATCCCTGATGATCCCTAGCGCTTTTCTTCAAAGTCATTTTTCTTTCTCCGAAGTTAACGAAGAATCTCCAGAGTTGTGCAGATTGTCTAACCCGACAGTGCTAAGCATGTTGCTGCTAAGAACAAATGATGTTTTGAAGTCATGAAATTTGCGATGATCCACAGGTCGAAATTTGAGGCTTACCGAAAAATTCGACTTTTCAAAAAGTCATTTGTTCTCATCAGCAACATGCTTAGCACTGTCGGGTTAGACAATCTGCACAACTCTGGAGATTCTTCGTTAACTTCGGAGAAAGAAAAATGACTTTGAAGAAAAGCGCTAGGGATCATCAGGGATCATACAAAAGCTGGAAAATGCGGTTCGTACAGCTTCTCGCTCCTGTTCAACATGTTCATAGTGAAGGGTAGTAGGAATACTTACGGATAGGTAGACAGCGTGAAATCCAGATATCCGGAGCTTCAGGATATGAAGCTTTCTTCTGAAGCTGCGATCCCCTCCCCGCGGGGATATTAGTGCATGCGGCCCTTAGTCTCTTTCTATAAAGGAAACTAACGATGCTGGCGCATACCATCCTCCAACTACACATGGGTACTAGAAAAAGCTCAAAAACCACATTTGCGCACTATTAGCACCTATTGAGGTGACAGCTTCTCGTTTGCAAAACTAGCCGCAGACTTCTAGCAAACCAATTTCAAGCCGGTTTGCATACGCTCACGACAATTGCAGAGATGATCTACGCGAGAATGAAACATGCATTCGCGCCTTGCAAGAATAGATCAACAAATCGAGATGTGAGAAAACTTAGCAGAAACCAGATCCGAGAAGGATCTTTTGGAAGATTTTTGGAAAGAAAATGTCAAATTTGGAGAGCTCAAACATGATACAATGAGTAACGAGCATAAGAGATTAAAAACTTTTGAACTATGCAAGGAAGAAAATAGAAGATGTAAAAAAATTAAATAAACTTGCTTTTGGGAATAAAAGCAATTTATCTGCGTCTTCAAAATATAAGAAATCATTTTTGCCTAATTTTGATGACTACTCCAATATAGATATGGCTGTGAGAAAAGCTCTTCGAATATAGATTCGCTACCGTACCTGTAATAACTCAGAACTCCCGCAGAATCTAGCACAAACCATCTTTGCCGATATCCTTTGATGTAATTGGTCCATTTATTGAGCCATCCAGATTTTTCCTCACTAAAATCAGATTATTTACCCGTATAGACAATTTTCACGCCGAAATCACGCGGCAATACTTTGACCATTGCCGTGAATAACAGAACAGATAAGCCTATTATTCGGTATCGCTGGGCATGCTAAGCTGTTCAAACATCAAAAAACGGGTGATAATAGAGAAAGCATCTTCTGCTAGCAAGAAGACAAAATTAACGAGCAAAAATGGGCATCTCAACGGACAAAATCACATTAAGTTTTCGAAATGGAAGGGTTTGTGTATAAAAAAAAGGTTTATGGTGATTGCTCGTGGGATTTCGGCGACCAAACACATTATTGTGACCCCAATTTCGCCGGCGATAAATACAAAAACATCTCAGATCGGCAAAAAAAATGATGCGATGTTGTTTTGTTGATGACAACCTGTACCGAATACCCGTTTTCTAGTAATCATGTAAACACAAACAGGTAGCAATTCCAAACCAAATTTCATAGTTTCAAAATATTTCCCCCGTTAGATTGCTAATAGGACTCCTAATCGTTAGGTTCCGAAACGAACCAAAAATCGCTACATTTTTCTGATATCATCTTAAAAGTGCAATCAAAAAAGGCTTTAAAGATGATACCGCGATTAACCTAACGCTAATGCGATTACCCAAGTGAACAACATTACTTCTTCAACCGCACTTCGCCAACTAAACAAGCCAGAAATTGCCTTTTCTGGGCGCAGTCAATTATGAGGTTAAATGTTTTGTCTCGTTGGAAATGCCGGACAGCCCTTAAATGGCCGGCCAATATTTGATTTTCAATTCCCTCACATAGGATACAAAGCGAAAAGAGAATAGGTCGTAAATCAAGTAACCATGGAACCAGCCTATGCTGGCCTTGACGACCAGACAAAATGAAATTTTTCATTCAACATTTCGAATTCAATAAATCAACTTTCAAGTATAAAGATATCAAAAAAGTCATAAACAATGAGTACATTGTATTGTTAATGTCTATATACAAGCACAAACAAGGTTGGGATACTCTTGAATCAAAGGGTGAAAAACAATTGTGAGACTCTCTATCAGATTTCTGAGGAACGCATTATTGCCGAAATGTTAAACTGGAAAATTTCTTGACAAATCTGCTTGGCGCACAAAAATGTCCGAGTATCGAATTTCTTCAAGAAAGCTATATGTCATACAAAAGTTGAAAACTAAATTCAAAGCGAAAAGCAAAACAAAAAGGCACAAATAAGACTAGTAAATTATGCATAGCAAAAACTCACACTGCATTGTCTTGCATTGCCAGTGATGATACTGATTCAGCACGAGTCGATGAGGACATGGCGACACCTTGATGAATGTCTACGCCGTCTTCTTGTTTAGTAGTTCCGTTACGATTTCGACGTTTTCGAAAGAGACGTTTACGCGCTGACTTTGCGACCGACCATGTTCCTGCAACCATAGCGCAGCTCGACTCGACTTGACGACTATAACGACTATAGGCCGCTCTGATCAATACACAACACCGGCAGCGAGGTAGGTGAAGATCCGGAAGAATAAGCAGTAGGAGGAGCGGGAGCGGGTGAGGGGGGAGGAGAGGGAGCTATGAGGGTGGGGAGGGAACCTCTGGGAAGTTAGCAGATAAATAGCCTGGGTAGTCTGGGCTAATCGGACAGTGCAGTGCGCCCGATAGCAGCGACAGCAGCTTGACAATAGAAAGGTGCGATGAAAAGCTGTGTGCGCGCTCGGGTGTGTGTCTATTGAGCACAATCGCGCTCGAACGATACACAGTCGCACTGATAGTGACTAGGTGTGTATGACTACGGGCCCTGGTGTGTCCGCGATGGCACAGTCAGGTGTGTGATGTTGGCAAACACCGACCGCGACACCAGCAGTATTTACGCGACTAATCGTTGCCCGATCAGGGCTATGATCGCGCGGAATTAGCAGAACAACATTTTTGAGACGCTAAGCTACATGCTGCGCGCGATTTCCTTGATTGATAGATTCGTTGTGAAAGATTGCGTCTAGCAGAAATATAAATTGCAGAAAGAAAGCGAGGGATCGAAACAAGCTCAAACAACATTTCTTGTAATTTTCTAAGATCAGATCTTCTCGATTTTCTTGCATTTGCATAGGATAAATCTAGATCGAACGCTACTCTTGTTTTACAAAAAATATCTTCTTAAAAACAAAATTTGACAAATCAAGGAAAGCTCAAAACGCAAACTCAACGGCAACCATCGTACCATCTGCCATTGAGAAAAAATCAAAAATCAAAATCAAAAACTTTATACTTTAAGGCAAATCTTTCTCACCGGGATGGAGTTGTCGCTTTAAGAGACTTGGGTTGAAAAGAAAAGAACAAAGCGGTGCTTATGTGCTGTAAAGGACTGGTATGTGAGACAATGAAACCGCAATTATCATCAAAACAATTGGGTCTTATTAGCTGAAGACGTTCTGGAGTAGTGACTCAGTTCTAACAGATTAAATTGATTGAACGATATTCACTTTCTAATACTTCTAAAGGAAAGAGAGAATATATAATATAAACGTGGGCCTCCAAAAAAAACTCATTTTTTAAAGAAAACATTTTGATGAGAATGAGCTTCTTTGCAAAATAATTACCCGAATCGTCATTACCATTATGCAAAATTTTTGATAAGCCCGTAATTAGGACTAGTGAAAAATTGGAAAAAAATTACAGATGTGAGTTGTTAAATCAAATAAAATCAACATGGTACATCTGCTACCCAAGCGGCTATACAAATACTTGGATCATATCGAGTTCAAAAAAAGTCAAACTGAAAATCCTCGAAGGTAACAGCGCATATTTTTCTGACTCTTCTAACATCGTTCTTTACTGTATGCAAAATCAATTTTGATCTAACGTAAATACCGAAAAAAGCAAAAATCAACGCATAATGACAACAGCAAAAGATCACTTATGACGCTGCCATCGATTTATGATGGTTTTCCCAATTTACGAATAACGTATCACCCCATAAAATTTGATGAGTTGACAGGACCAGTCTAGAGATAAAAAACTGAACTTAGATCAAACAAAACCGGTCAGTGTGCAAATTGCAAAATGGCTAGGAAATCGTCACTGACCATTCAGGTTCGTTTATGTGATTAAAGAATTATCGACGGTTTAATGTAGAAGTTTTCTCTCCGCATTTCAACTCAGAAGTTTCACATACAAAGAATGGCCATTCTGGGTGGAGGGAATTTCATTCAAGAATCAGGAACAACATAAAGATCTTTTTTGTCTTTTCATCTCAAAATTTTTTGAATGAAAAGCGCGGTCAAAAATAAGATGATACTGCTTCATAAATGCCAGAAAATCAAAAAAAAATCCCTAGAAAAATTGTGCAGTCGAACATCTAATTTTTTGTTTTTTACAGTTTCATGCACACCTGATGAAACCATAGTTCTAAACACTTTTCGCCAAACAACCCCTCAATGATATCATGTATCGAAATTTTTGGTGGCAAAGGAGGCTTGTTCGCAAAACTTGAAACATTGCAAATTGCCATGCATACAAAGCATCAGGAAAGACAAAAAAGTTGTGAGGTTTGCGCCAAAGTCAATTGATTCAGAAATTCTAAACATTGCCGCCGCTTTGTCAGAGCGTTTCACATTTTTAATAGGCATTGTGTACAAATGAAGTACAGCATATTCAGAGCGTATATGCTTTCCTGGCAATTTCAATAATGCTTATAACATGAAAAGGCTCAAATTTCAGCATAACATAATAGCAGACTATTGATTCCATAATATCAAAATTACTGAATTTCAATGATTCTTCCAGATATAGCGCCTAACATTCGAGACTTGAGTTTAAAGCAAAAACATATTTGATTAGCAATCAATGATTTAAACAAAATTCAGAGCGTCTGGAAATGTTGTGAGGACATTTTTCCGCGAAAAGGCAAAACGCCAATCAAGCAAAAGCGAGAATCTTCAATACGAAAAAACAAATCTCATTTTGCGAACATCAGCGGTATGCCATCTTCAGAGGATGCATTCAAGCACGTACATAAACATTGTCCCGCATTAAATACGCTCCTTTCCCTATGATTTTGAAAGGAAAAAATCGATTGATAATAATTTTTGAGGTACAAAAAGTGAGCAGTGGTATTAGCGGTGAAGAGCCCAGTGTAGCTGATAAATGAAAGGGCCTACAACGTAAGGAAAAAGAAGATACTTTCGCCCTTCACATGCTATACAGTCCGGGGCCCCTGCACTTACCAAAGACTAAGACATACAATTTTCAAGAAAAAAAATCAATAAAATTAGTAATGAAAAAAAAGAATAATAACAAGAGTGTTTTTCAGATATAAAATTTTCCAAAATTCCAATGCAAATTGTGTAGGTATGAGGAATCAATGACAGTGAAGATTTTTTTTTTGGAATGAGCGACGCGCCAGAGGGGTCTTTTTTCGGTGGCTTGAACACAGTGAATTTTCTAAGATTATTCACAAATTTTAGACGAACTTGATCTCTGCTCAATTTATATTGATTTTGTGATAAAGTTGTTACAAAGCTAATTCGGACTACAAACAAAAATCCAAAGATTATTTTGACCATCTACGAGTAAAAACAAGTCACTACAGTTTTATGACTCAGTAGAGAGGATGGGGGAGGGGGGGGGGCACAAGTCCTAAACAATCTGCGTAAATTCGACGAAGAGAATCCAAGAATCCATGGATGCACGCATGCACGTATTATTGGTTTCTTGAGTCTCGTTTTACATTCTAGAAAAATGTTGTGAAGTGCCTGTTCTGCACTTCCTCTATCCATCAAACAAATCAAATTTCTAGAAAAAGAGGGACTAGCAAATGATAGCAGAGGATCTTCCGTTCAAAATCCACCCAAGACCCAGCGTGAAAACTTCCTCATAGCGTGCAGATTATAATAAACCAATAATAGCTTACTTCGTGCTTGTTTCTGTAGACATTGAAGAAAATTATGAATAGATAGAGTGCCTTTAGTCATGATTTTTACATTTCCTTGAGAGGAAGTGACTAAGGGCGGAGCCATTCAACGACAGCAATGAATCACATTCAGCTACATTGGTTATCGTTTCCCGATGCGAGAAGAGAAAAGAGCGAAACGAATATTTCTATTCATATATCAATGACATCAGAATACCATAAGTGAAAGAACGATGCGCTTTTACAATCGTCGACGAAACTGATCACGAGACAGAAATGGACAAAGGCAAGTCGGACAAAAAGTTGGGCAACTGAACCAGAGAGTGTAAAATGGAAAAGTAGCATTATTGATATTATATAATAGCATAACATTATAGCACAGTTATAGCACATAGCATTGTAGTACATTATAGCACCCTGAAAAAAGATGAAGGCTTCGAAAATTTTTCAGCATCTTTCTAACATCTCTCGCAAATTACACCCCCCCCCCCCACTTAACTGCTCATTGTTCGCCAGAAACCCACATGTGCCACTTTATGACAACTTAAAACCTTAACAGCACTGTTATAAAGCTCACAACAGCCCTTCGGACAGAAGAAAATGATGCCCCATAAAAAAAATTAGGAACTTTGACCATGGTATGCTTTCCGCTGTAAGCTAACAGCTGACAGGCCCAATGTCTTTCGCTCTCGTCAACGACAGATAACGGGTTGAAAGCTCAAAAGAAGATTTACATCTTTCGAAACATTGACAATCTCTCATTTTGTGAGGTTAAGAAGATGAGATGGGCGTTTGATGGTTGGAGTTTCAAGATATATTTGCATCGGAAAAAGAGATAGAGTGTAAGCTGAAATCAATGAGATTAAAAATATACTGCAAGAATGACAGCTATCTTCAACACTGTAGGACACGCTAATGGATATTAACTCTTTTGCTGATATTGAGTTCCACCACAACAAAAAATAAATCACTCATCAAATCATTGAAAGTGGAAAATACAAGTGTAGACAACGACAGAGGAAAACCGAATACTTACTGGAGATATATTACTTTGCACTGACGTGAGCAAATGGTTTCCAGTTCATAAAAGCTTCTGTGCTTTTATTACAGGGTTTTTCCTATTACATAAGACGGAAATTTTTTTTCACTCGAAAGCTGTCAGAGTGATAAGTTAAAATTTCAGCACGATCTTTCTGTTACTAACAAGGAGAGGATACTTAGTCGACAGCACCAGTCCGGATGGGACATATATCATCTTAAACCGCTTGAAACGCTGATTGCAAATCTGTAGTTTTTAGCTGCGGAGCGGTTTTGTAGAAGGAGTTATGAGGGGTGTTCCCCTCTGGGGTTGAGGCGCCCTCCAGTGGTCTTCCCTTATCTATGAGCACTGTAGAGGAGTATCAGCTGGTGGCAACTGGCCTAATGGTAAGTACATACTTGAATAGAGATTACAATAAGGATTATGTTACTCGTATTACTTGGATTTTTTAACACTTCTAACCTCGATTAGCATCAATATCATCAGAAATTTCAGGCTTTAGGGCTCTGAAGCCATTTAGAAGCTCAATTTGGCAAAAACTGCGATACAGTTGCATGCCAAGGGGAAAAATCTTGACACTCTACTTATTAAGCACGTCACTTACCACCAAGTTAGTTGCCACCAGTTGGTATTTCCTCTACAGTGCTCATAAGTAGGAGAACACCTGGTGGAGGGCGCCTCAACCTGAGGGAAACAACCCTCATAACTCCCTCTACAAAACCGCTCCGCAGCTAAAAACTACAGATTTGGAATCAGCGTTTCAAGCGCTTTAAGGTGATTTATGTCTTATCCGGATTGGTGCTTTCGACTAAGTATCTTCTCCTTGTAAGAAGAGTAATGCCACCAAAATAGAATGACATGAGTGATCGGTACCGGAAGAGAACCATCAACATAAAGAAAACGAAATTCTCATGATGTCGAAAGATAACAGGTATTGGGAATAGAACTCAGGCAAGTGCATTTGCCAAAAAAGTAAGGGGACCCTCGCTAATGGAGCAAATTTCGCGAACTATATACTTGGAAAATGTGTGTTTTTGGAAAATTACTTAAGGGAGGGGGGGGGGGGGGGGAAGAGGGGACAGGATGTTTGCAAAGGCAAAGTGTTATACGGCAAATTTGCGAAAGAATTCGATTTGTACTCTCATTTAATACAAAAAAACCTTCGAGCTCTTTCTTCGAAAATAAAACAGAAAAAGAGGACCTGGCTGAAGGAAAAAGGGGACAACATTTGAAACTACAAAATACTACAACAAAGCCTATAACAAGTCCAGCACTTTGCAAAGCTCTCCAGATAAAGTGCGTCAGAGGAGATTTCTAGAAGCGTACCCGATGTAAGAGACTTCAAAACCAGGTTGATCTAAGGGCGATAAGCACACGGCGATGAAACATGCCGATACTACGACGGTTCGATATCCGTAAAGCAAATGTTTCTCTCCACAACACAGTGAATTGTTAGCTGTTGCTGCGCGAAGATGATGATAAACAAACACATACACTAACCGTGCAACGAGCGGGGCTCCACCTCAACTATAGCCACAAATTGATTGGAAGGACACTCTGGCTGTCTGGCAAAGAGGCGCAAGAAAAGGTTAACGTCAATTTTGGACGAAAAACGATTAGTGAGTGGGCACTTCACATCTTCAGCGGTGTTATAATGGAGCAAAGAAGTGTTCTGTCAATCTTAGTCGATATCACTAAAAACTGACGTGCGGGAGAAAAATGAAAGATGCTGTTTACATAGCATGATAGAGAGTGGAGTGATCGTAGTGAGAAGTATTTGCTTACTCTGCATCACAAACTGTTATAAACAGAAACGTCCAATGGAAAACAAGCTGAACTCAAAAAAACAGGTCACCCGATCTGCGCGTTTTTTATTGCAGTGATTCATGGCCTTATTACATCACCAATACCCTCATCGATAAGGAACTAGTGATAATTAATCTTTTGCGCGGTTTTAGCATGATGGAACGGTGGAGGATTATATGTCGCTGAATGTGGAAGAGTCCCGCGCGGATTTCCTGCAGGAACGCATGTCCGCGCATGTACAAGGGTGCGTATTTGTTGCAATTGACCGCAGGGACCGCCCTTTTTCGGCGACATATAGTCCTCTACCCCGACAGAACGTTGAAATCAAGAAGTTATACCAAAAACGGTTTATACTAATTTACGGAATCAGCGCAAGATACGGAGATTCGCGAAATCGAAGGCCAAAAAAACCAGGAGGTGCAATTTCACAAATCCATTCTGAACTTTTGTGAGCAAAATAAGATTGAAAGCTTGCCATACTGCTTCATATGAGAACAGAAAAAGTGACAAAGCAGATAGTTAGCACAACTTCCTAACACCATCGACACATTTCTAGCATTCTGAATTCAGCATTCATTGTTTATCTAAATCTACAGAAAAGCTTCACGCAAAAAAGTTTTCAATATAGTTCGACAATCCTCCCAAATAAGATTATACCAAAACTGATATCTTAAAAGAGCATAACGAAAAATACGATTGAGTGAGAGCAAAAGTAACGGAATAAAGCGCAGGAGTAAAAGGAAAAGATCTGACGTAGTGTTCATGCAGAATACGCACCTTGCAAGTATAGTCAGTATCGTAGAACAAAGCAAAACCAGCGAAAGCCAATGCTGTAATCATCCGAACTTCAGAGAACTTGCCGACGGCTCAAAAGCGGGAAGCAGTCATAAGCGTGGCTTATAGCAATTCGCGAAATGAGAAAAGCGTATCAAGTGACTCTGACACCACAAAAAAGAAACGATGCCTAAGATTTGACACTAAAAAATGGTTTAAGTAGAAGAGTCTTCTGATGATGGGAAACATTCATTGTATTGAATATACATGTAAGATGTCAGCACATTCCCATATCTGGAAATCAGTGGCGTACCAAGGGCCGCCCCCCCCCCCCCCCGAGAATGGGTCGCGAAATTTTTGAAAGTTACTTAAATGTGTTATAAAAATGTGCAAGCAATTTGTTTTTACTTGTAAATAATTAAAATAATCTTTAAAAATTCAAATTAGCCTTACAAAAAAAATTTTGGGGGCGTGGCGTCAGCCACGCCCACTTTTTCTAAAATTTTGGGGTCAAGGGGGCGCAAAAATTTTAGAAGGCACCCAAAAAAAATTTTCGGAGTGCCTGGCTGACCACGCACCTTCTTCATGCGAAAAATTTTTTTGTCGCTCCCCCCCCCCCCCCAGCGGAAATATTGGGTACGCCACTGCTAGAAATGAAAACACAAAAGTTTCTAGTATTTAAAGCACAACAACAACAATGGGACATTCAGGGTAAAAAAAAGCTGGAGTCATATGATGGTGATCCAACCACAGACATAAATGAAGTTGTAAAAGAGAGTAGAAACACTTGCGAAAGAGGACTCGAATGATGCACTTGAAAATCTTTAAGAAAATAAACTAACAAGCTTACCACATTTTCAAGCGCAAGTGGCTAATGGATGTACTTTACTTACGTACACCTTTCTCATCCGATTAAAAGTACAAAAATCAAAAATGTTAGAAGTCAAAAAAAGTTAAGTAAAGCTGCATGCAAAATAAACAGATCAAACAGCTATTTTTACCTGAAAAAGCCTCCTTTATTGCTTTGTGCAGATCCCTGTGGCAAGGTGAGCATATGACCATTGAGGTGATCAACGATAAGGCATCGGCGATTGTGGTTAGTGCAATATCAATGATGCAGCGTTATCAAAGAGAAAGAAACAAAAACACCTAACGATAGCAGATCTTTCGATGAGACTAGAATTGCGTAATCTTATTTGACGGAGTGAGAAATGAACTAATATGAGATGCAAAAAATTGAGGTCATCCTCTATTCCATAAATAACTGTAAGCAGCAATTTTGTGGTGACGACTAAGCAACATAACATCCGATTCTCAGACAATTCACCAGAACATCTGCAGGACAAGCAAAATTTGCAGCAGTTCCGCGGGATTTGGCTTAGCATTACAAAAGTGAAAACGTTGAGAGTGGGAACTGCCGCAGGATTTTCAACTCAGACTGGTTGGGAACGGGGACTAGGACTTCTTACAAAACGCTGCGGGACTTCCGAAAAATGCTAGCTATTCCGCAGCACTTCAATCTGCCAATACTTCCGCAGGGTTAGAATGTGTTGCCTCAACAACTAGAGTGCATCATCGTACATGTCAGCCGTACTGCAGAGGATAGTAGGTGAATCTCACAGTCAGTAGAGTAAGGTTCAGATCTTGCTTGAGTGTTCTCTTTTACTGTTTTGGTTCGCAATCTTCGCAGCACGTTTACGGGACTTCTGCGGGTGGCCCGGCGGAACTTTCCCAGACATTCTGCGAAAGTTCCGGCTAGTTGTCTGAGTTAATAAATCTGACTATGATCCATCTCAAATGCGAATAGTGTTACGATGTTCAAACAACTCCAATTTCTTTCAAAAGTCGAAAAAGTTTTCAAAAAGCTTTGGCCATGATCGATTTGCCAATCATTAACTTCTTCCCAAACAAATGTCGGAATGTAAGAGAGCTTTTCCTTATCTAGTCCGATTATAAAGCAAAAAGATATGAAAAGAGACAGCTAGAAGTATGTATTGCCAGCCAAGTATAAATCTGTAACACAGCGAAGAAGGAGACCTGACAAATGAGCAGGTACTACAAAGAAGGTGTTTGTTTGCTGAATCGACGGATTACCATATCATGACAACTAACTATTGCATCGACTAGTGATAGCAGAATGCACTTTCTTTCGGAACGCAGCCACAATGAGTGGATAGAACGAACAGTATGTCAATGCAAATCTTCCAGTAAAGCTTGCAAACCCAGTAAAAAGAAAATCTGTCAGATTTTAGATCTTCATAAGCGGCTGAAAAGTGCACAGATGAAGAAGAGCATAGTCCTAGATAATCAAGCAAATTATTGAGACGGCCATTTCGCTTTGAAGATGACAATGAAATAAAAAGATGGCGCATCTGTTACAAGCTCAAAAACATGAAGGAAGATGAAAAGGAGCGATAGGAAGTGACTTGGTCATAAAAACATAGTTATTTTCAATAATCAATCATTAACATAATCATAATGAAAAAGACAAAATAAATAACAAAAAATTCCTGGTAAAACTAGATAGTCAAGCAGCAATACAAGTGATTGTGTGAAGTAGGAAACCCTTTGCTTTTGCAAAATGCAAAGGATTAATTCACTCGAAAACAGAATGCGATGATGGAATCAATTCAAAACGCACAGTACAATGCATGCAAAGGAAAATAAAGTATTGTGTAAAGTATAGTTGCTAATGAAGGAAGGTTTCAAAGAGATAAACAGTAAAAAGGATCAGAAAAAGATAAGATCTCTCTCAAACATGATCAGTCAACAAAAGACCGCAACCGCGAGCAAATAAAGCGAAAAAAGTGGGAATGACTGGAACAAAACCGTCATCCCGCACCAAAAAGACTGCAAACTCTATTCAGCTGAGCCCTCGTCGAAATAAAATCACAATGACCGGAGGGTGCAAAATAGCCTCCCGACACGAGATCCGGACGCAGCCGCAAGTGCTCGGCTCGCTCTCGTCGCCTGTCGTCTCCGCGCAGGCGATGCTCTCTGCGCAGCCGCGCTGCAGCCGCGCCACAGCTGTGACAAGCGCTGGAGCGCCAAATCCGTTCCGTTTCGACTGGGGCTAGCTGTCGTCGGGCGATTACACGAATTCGATACGCGGAGGCGATTGTTGATGCGTCGGCCTTGTATGTGACTTATGTTCATTGCTTTACACATATTTTCTTCCTTTCATACTTTAATGTGTTTTATCTGTTTGCCTTTTCAATTTCATCTCACATCGCAGTACAGACATAAAGATTACCATGTTTGGAATAGTAATTGAAGTGTTTGCTGCTGCATTCATTCAAATGCTGGAAAGTTTTCATGAAAATCGATCTTCAGCGTAAATGAGCATCCTTGAAATTGGTAAGTCCAACTTTAGCCTTTCTTCTCTAGGCGATTAATCACTCAGATTATCTCGCACATAAGGCCACAATCTGAAACCTTGCGAAGTTTATAAAGAGACTTGAGTATATAGTTTATTTTTACGATATTCCTTATAGTAGAAAACTTTCTAAAATGATGTTTTACCAGTGTGTACTGGTCAGATTACTCCTAGGAGTCTGAAATAATCAGGGTTGAGTATCTCTCAGGTTACCTTGTCAATATGTTTACTCTTTTCTTCATGAGCAGCTAAATATAGTCTTCAAGATTTCCGACTCGTAACACTTTCGAGGGAAACAAAAACACTTTTATGAAAAACAAAAGATGCGCTTCAGATGAAAATTTGTCAATTACTTCAATTTTTTTGGCGTGTGTTCACTTTCGGAATAAATTTATGAGATTTGTAGCAATGTAGAGTTGATTTACATAAATTTTCTGATTTCCCTCAGAAAATGAGATACATTTTTCTATTGTTCGCAGGCTTACAAAACCTAACAGACCGTTTCGGTCCTGTTCTTAATCGCCTCTAGCGCACGGGCGCAAGTTGCTTCGTTTATCCTGGTCATTGTACTCCTGTCACGTTCAGCCATTTTCAAAACACCAGCATTTTATTCCATTTCTCAGAAAGATTCCACTTTGTTTCGTCGAAATCGTCATAGGAGTTGTGTTTTCCTCATATTCCACTTTATCTTGTCGAAGTATGATATTCTATCATCTGACCTATATACCCGACCATAGCGTTTACCTCACCTCAGGTTATGGGTAACTCGACTTGTTGTCTCCGGAGTAATGGTAATGTACCGCGAGACGAGAAGAACTATGCATACGAAGGACAGTATACTAGGAATAATCAAGTAGAGGTACATGACTTCTTAGCATGCTTTTGTCAGCGCTTTGTTTTGCTGCTTTTGTGGTGTTTATGATGTTTATGTGTCTTGTTTGCAACAGCTACAAAATGTGGCGAGCTCACTTTCAGTTTCAATATGTAAATCAATCTTTTCCGAGGGACGAAACATCGACAAATTTTCTTCCACATATCAGCGAACGCGAGGTTCCTGAAGGTGCGTGACCATTTCGAGTCTGAAAGTAGTCTTTGTATCCTTTGTTGACAAATACGGTCTGTATACCATTTTGAGAAAATTATGTTTATTCTAATGGTTGAGTCCTTGTATTGCACAAGTTATACTTCCAGCTTTGTTGTACAATCTTGTAAAAACAACAGTAGTGAACCTCTCGAAAAAGTACTACGCTTAGTCTGATTGATTCCGTTTCAGTTGGAGAAGAAGATCCATCTACTCATCCCACTGCCCGTCCTACGTTTATGGAACGAAGTAAAAGCGAAATGAAGTGTGAGTTTATAGTCTCTTCTTACCTGCGTCATTGTATGTGTTTCATGTTAAAGATTGCAAAATGTTCAGTAAAAGACAACCGGCGGTCATGTTATATGCTCGATGCAGTAGCTGGCGGTGGTAGTTTTCCCGGTGTACTGCCGAAAAGTTTGCGGAAATCAAGTAGCTGTAGTACGATTTATATGGGTGAGCTATTTCTTGTCCTGCTTCATTTGAAATCCTTAGCGTTTTATCCTTTGATAATGATGCAAGTATTTCAGATGATTCCACAATTAGCCAGCCGAATTTGAAAAACACCATCAAATGCATATCATTAGCTATATATTATCATATTGCCAATCGTAAGAATCGCTCACATGAGCGACTCATGGAGATCTTTGAAGAACGACTTCATCCCATTACGGTATGTCTACAATTGTTTGCCTTCATTATAACTATTTGAATCCGTTATCGAAATGATTGGTGTGCTAGATACTAATCACTTCAAAAACTGTTTGAAATAGAGGAGTTCGAGATGTTGACTCTAGTTTCGTTTTGTATGAATAGTGAAGGATATTCTGAGTCCGGACTTCGTATATTAGTGATGTGCTTAATAGCATGACCATTTGATTTTTGTCTTGAGCTACCTCCAACCTGTTACTGTTGTCTAGGCATTTTATGAAATTTGGGAATGGATCATTTTGTTGTGCCTGCCGTCTTCTGATACATCAAAAAGAGTATATTATGGGTCCAAAACTATATAATCAAGCCTCTTGGGCTACATCTTATGATTTTAGCATGTCTTATGATTTTGGCATGTGTCTTACTGCACCGATTACCTTCAGAACGCTGCAATATCTTGCTTTCAATATCACTGCTTAGCAGCGGTTAAAGACGCTGTTGAAAATGTTCGATTTTTTTCCTCCGCGAAACGGACAGGCGCCTTTGTGTGCTTTGCTCAGAACGGACAACTATTGTGTAACAAATTGCACTAAGTCCTTTCGCCATCCATAATTTTGTTTTTGGGGGAAGCATCACCTGTAGAAGGTTTCAGCATTCGGTTATTTAAAGAAAAGGACTGAAAGATACCAGAAAGACCCTGACAAGACAAAATACATCTGAAAAATTCTTTTGTTTGTTTCTTGTTTATTTTTATTTTGTCTAGCATGATCTAACCATTTCGAAGAGTTTTGAATCTAGTAACCTGTTTCAGCGTGAAGCCTTACCACCTGAACTAATGACGAAAGATCCTGATCATAGACAGATCTACCGATTCGTTCGTACACTATTTCATTCTGCTCAACTTACCGCAGAATGTGCAATCATAACACTGGTAAGTACTATGAGAAGTTTCATATTCACATGAGCACTCCTCATTTTGTTCAGGTTTACATAGAACGTCTATTGAATTATGCTGAAATGGATTTATGCCCATCAAACTGGCGACGGGTAGTTTTGGGAGCCATTATGTTAGCATCAAAGGTGAGTCAAGCTAATTTATGTGGAAATGGGCTTAGGTTTGAATTGTGAGACTCGTAAAAGTGGCGGCTCTACCGTGTAATTTTGCAGGTTTGGGATGATCAAGCCGTATGGAATGTCGATTATTGCCAAATATTGCGAGATACCAATGTCGACGATATGTAAGTTGTTACTCTGCTACTATTTTGGTTTATTTATTTGTATTTTGTATTTTATTTATCTAATCATACATTACCATGAGGTGTTGTTCCACAGGAACTCGTTATGAATAAAAATTATAGTTCAAAATTACATTGCATTTTCATATTGCTGAGTCTTCTGTGTGGGAAGATTACGTTGGTGAAGTTCAGAATGTAGAAGAATAAGTATCATTTGATACAGTAACATTCCTAAGGTGAAGAAGATGTTTGACACAGCACGACTTTACACTACGTTTTATTGTTTCGCTTTCATCGTGCGATCTTATTTGAACTGAAAAAGAATGGAAAATGATACGAGTACAGCAACTGAGTTTTATAACTTTAGGAATGAATTAGAACGACGTTTCCTTGAGTGCCTTGACTTCAATATCGAAGTACCCTCATCTGTTTATGCAAAGTACTATTTTGATTTGCGAACATTGGCCTTGGCAAATGACTTACAACTACCACTACAACCACTATATCGAGAACGTGCAAAACGCTTAGAGGTGAGCTTATCTACACTACGATTGCTTTGGGCTCCTCCAATTTCAATGATTTTATTCAGGCTGTCAGTAGAGTATACGAAGATAAATTCAACAACTTCAAGCGAAGCTACTCGGCTGAACGTATCCAAACGGAGAGAAGAGCGCCTACTGTACTTTCGTAAGCATTAGTTTTACCATTTTCGAATTTTTAGTGGCTAATAAATCCTTCCAAATTTTATTTGCAAGGCCAGGTTCTTCTTATAAACTTTAGTCAAATTGTCTTCATGTTATTGTTGTAATTATTTGTGGTTTTAAAACTCGCTCACTATTGAAGATTGTTATTTTGTCTGTTTTTTTTTCTATTTTGTCCTACTTATGCAAGATTTTTCTATCTCTCTAATTTTTTCCTCTCCCTATAAATGCTGGTTTGTAAGCTGTTGTTCTGATGCTTTTCGTGCAAATCATGTCCTCTGTTTGCCTATTTCTTAGATAATTTATTCATAATTTTGCTGTTATGAGTGATTCTTTCGTCATCACTCCATAATAACGAATGATGTGCAGAGCTTCAAAGAAGGCCATCTGCTATTCCTAGGATATTTGCAATGATCGGTGATGTAAAACCTAAGAGATCGACTAATAAAGTTTTTGAGCATTGAATGCTTATCTTGCGATTTTGTTTTTGCTGATATCATATTGCACCACTGTATATGATGTTCTAGTAGATAGATTCCGAATTCATCTCCCTTTTTACTCGTTTTTCACAAGAGTTATCCGTCCGACTGCAGCTAGTTATTAATATCATCTCGTCCATTTTCGTATCTATTTGTAAATGGTCGCAAAGCGGCTGAGCTCTACTGTGTTCGCGTCTTTACTGGGAGGCTTCGTAGGCGCGATCTAACTAGAAAAGTGGCGTGTGTTGAGATAGGCCGAGTACTGGCGAAGTCCGCAATGACACACAGCCTTTGCGTCGTGCTCGTGTTCATCTATTGACCACGTAAATTACTTGTCTTGTCGTTTGTATATTTTTCGCTGATTCTGACATTGGTAGGGCATACGGATTCCATATTTGAGCACTGGAAAGATCGAGTAAAATTCGGGAGAAAAGCCAAGGTGAAGGGAGTGGAAAAAGAAAGAATGAAAGTGGGGCAGAAGCTTTTGGAGGTGCACTGATGTCAGCATGTCCACCATACATCTGGAAAGACGTGCTTTAAGGTAGTAATCGCAGGCAGATCTGACTATTATCTGGTTTGTGTGGACAGTGGTTGGCAGGCGTTAATTAAGCCGTTGTCAAGCGACGATTCATAATTCACTCATAGTCAGACAATTTAACCTTGAACTCTCAACCACACTGTGCGGAAATACTTACTAGTTTGCTCGGAAATGGTACGGTACGGGCGAGAGTTTAGACTTGAATTTCTCGGCTCCAAATGAATTGCCTGAACTGCCGTTCGGACAATGATTATACAGAATTTACCAACTACTTGCCATAAAAGAAGTCTAGGTATTCTCAGCATAGGAACTCCCTTTAATACATACCCACTTCCCAAGGTAAAGAAGTAGGCTAACAATGGTGATGTGTCTGGCATTGCACGCCTTTGACTATGAGCAATGCACAATTAGATAAAAAGGTTTCGCCATTTTCGCTTCCCTTATTCGACGTCTTGCATTGGCTTTTTTATCGTCTCGGTACTGTGAATGTAAGCAATAACATCAGTTAGATTTATAACCTCTACAGATGTGCGACCATTCACATGATGGCCTAGGCGGCTGCGAACGTGAAATCAGTGACAGTGCTGATTATGGAGATATAAAACAATACGACATGTATAAGTACATCGACATGGACAAGGTAAGTGATAGGAGCACCGTTGTTGATTGGGTCATAAAACGAAGTTTTATAGGTGACAGTGTTGAATGAGACTGTTGATGGAAGTGGAAAACTCGTTTTCAAGAGTATGGAAAGGAGACTTGACAGGTTGGTCTTTTACCAAAAAAAGTTTACGACTTAAGGACTACGCGCGTTTTTATCCTTGGAAGAGGACGGACCAGTCGCGGTCCGAATACCTCGGGGAGGGGAGGCAGGCGAAAAAACTTCCTAAATAAAGGACGGCAGCCATGCCTTTGAAAATTCTTTAATAAAGCTATTTCTGACTCTGAAAAGTTTTACAGATTGTGATACATTCTTGGGGAAGGAGGACAACCCCCTACCCCCCCCCCCTCTCTCCTTCCCCCCATCTCTCACCCACTGGTTTGACATATAGCTCCCTCAACGGCAGTGTCTCTTTTGCATGCGGCCGCGCATCCGCAGACGTGCCGATCTCCGATGAGGTTAATCTAATTGTAAACGCTTTCAAACGTGCGCTTGTAAGTGCGGTGCCAGGCACATGCGGGGGGGGGGGGGAGGGGATGTGTTGATTTGAAGGCAGTGACTCGGCAGATTGAAAACTTTGGAAAAGTCATCGTTCTGGGTTCCCTTGGATGAGCTATGTCCAAGACTGTCCTTTGCAGCTTCAAAAAGTATCAATAACCCGCTTTTCCAGACGTGGAAACTGCTATTTGGGCGGACGGCGTACCTGCCCTCTAGAGCGCGATTGGCTCGTAAGTGGAGACACCGTACCTACTACCCACGAGCCAATTGCGCTCTAGAGGGCAGGCTTATGCCGTCCGCCCAAATAGTTTTTTTTTCACGTCTGAAAAAGCAGGTTGTTGATCGGAGACACTACGATTGAGACAAACTGTAGGCTGACTGTGGCCCTCACCAAGGCTTGCCATGTGGAGGGATATGACTGCCTGGAGTGTTAATACCGCTAAGTACTATTCTTCTTTATACTAAACACACAACCTTTGCAAAGCTAAAGAATCAAGATTACGCATTCCGGCAAAACGCCAAAAAGAGTGCGGACACGTCTTACGGTATGGGGCGGCTCTGAACTACGCGCCCTATCCTTACTTTTTTCAACTTTGTGAATCTTCCACATTCTCACTTTCTAGGCGTTTATTAGGGACGTTGTGAACCATGAAAGTGAGATAAGCAATTCATATCGCGCCATAATTGGAAGATAGCTTGATGGAGAGCCGATTGTACCTGCAAAATCTCAAGATTCTTCCCCCTTTTTTTATTAGCAGACAAGCGAACCACAAAGGTCTCCCATAAATTAGACTTTCCTGAACCTAGGGTACATGTGCAAACCTAATGTTTGTCTTTTTGGGACAATGAAAGTGTGGTGAACAATTATCGCTCGATATGATGCTAAATTTCGGGGCATGAAATATCATAATTGCACGAAAGAATAGCGTTTTGTTGTTTGGCATTTTTTGTCATACGAGACACTATATGTGCCCGCTCCATTATCAATTCCAATACTTCCTTAAAGCTTACTTAGTACAACATGTGCTCGCGGAAACAAACAATATTTGAGAAAGTTTCTGAAATTTCCACCTTTATTGGGCGACACAATTTCAGAAGTGACTACGTGGAAAGCGATTGTGACGAAGAGTTACTGTTCAACTTACCATTTTCTGGTACAGTGCGAATAACTGGAATATCTGTGATTGGTGATGAAGAAGAAAATCATCCTGCAAAAGTGCGACTTTTCAAGGATAGACCCGCTGTGAGAGAGTCATACACATTTGTTTACTTTTGAGCCATTAACCTAAAGAAATTTTTTTCAAAAATTTTAGATGTCTTTCGACGACTGTAGTATCGAGCCCGATCAAGAGATTGATCTTAAGCAGGATCCTACTGGTAATAGAATTTTTTTTTTTCTGCAAAGGTGCGGGTTCATCGCATAGCTACAGTAAGATACCGTATTCTGAAAGCACTATAAGAGCCGCGCTGAAAATAGTAAGCGGACATTGTCGATGAGCTTGTTACGGTACTTTAATGTAGTACAGCTTTATTTTACAGAGAAAATAACGAGAATCATAAAACTAGAATTCAGAATCTATACCCCTTACTACAGGCGTGGTCGACTATCCTCTGAAAGCTGCCAAGTTCGGCACGCTTTCACATCTCAGCCTACACATCCACAAAAATTTCGGAGCTGAACAAACCAAGGTTTGCTACATTGGCTTACGAGGAGAATACATAGAAGATTTCAGACAGAGGGTACGGTAGTATTGTTTTGCTTAGCCTCCCGAGAACCTTGCCCAAATTACCCGCTGCAGGTCGCAGTTGCCGTATACGAGGCTAATCCGAACATAGCAGATCACAAAAACGAGATTCATGAACCAGTGAGACGCACTCTGTTCTAAAGTGGCTGCCTTTTTCTCATACTCAGTAGTTGATGTATAGATATTTATTTCGCGGATTTCTTGCAAAGTTTTATTTGCGTATGTATAAAGTGGTAAACTGTGAGTGTTTCAAAAAGAAACAAAGAAGGTGCGGTTGTAGAAAATTGCTGTAGATTGAATAAAAATAGAAGACACTCTATCAGCCATTGCCGTTCTTTGCTCCTCGAAAAGCTTTTACTATTGATCCATTTCCCTGCATGCATCATTACAGACTTTGTGATTCAAGTCTATATTTCATCTCAATCAACAAATTAAAACGCGAAAGAAATTCGAAAATTCAAAGGAGAGATGAAGCACCGTTCTAGCTCTTCCTTCAAAGGAATGAAATCATGGAAAAAGATCTTGGGTTCACCATCTGCACTACTATAGTTTGCTACAATCGGGATCAGGCCGGACCGTCGGCGTAAATTGGCGCGCTCGCAGCGCTAAAGGTCTGCGCTGCATATGCGCGCTGTCGAAGAGAACGAAAGAATTGAAGAGAGGGCAGAGAAGCAGGGGCCGTGGGCGTGACCGTGAAACCCTAGCGACGCGGACACTCGCCATGCCAATTTTGGCCTGGTTGGGATTGGGGCAGACTGTAGCACATCATTTTTGTTATTAAGAAACTAGCACAGGTGGTGCTTTTATACAAACTGCTTTTTGCTTTTATTTTGCTACTCGATAGAGGTGTTGCAAGCCCAATTGGCTATACACATATGGAGCAAGAATACATAATTTACTGTTAATGCTAAAAACCATTCCATAAGATTTGAATATTTTTCTAAAACTTTCGATCTTTGAAAGGGCAAGTATTATGATCCTATCTCAAGGTAACGATAGTAAATGTGGGCAAATATAGGCACCTCTCCGACTTCATTCAAGTATTCTTTGTATTTATATTTATATCAACAACTAGCTGGCATACCCGGCTCCGCCGTATGTTCCGAATAGAAAATTCCATTTCTTAACCCATCCGAACCAAACTTGGCACACATACACTTCGGGCCCCGGCTGGTGTCACAGTCCACTTTTCGTTATCGATTGATGTCGATTTTATCGATTTTTTGCAAAATTTGAGCTAGGGGTCTGGGATTTGGCACAGGGGGGGTAATCGAGCATGCTGATTACGAATACAATATTAGTTTTCGAAACCGTACATTACTTTTATCGATTTTATCGATTTTTTTTTGCAAAATTTGAGCTAGGGGGCTGGAATTTGGCAGGGGGTGTAATCGAGCATGCTGATCATCCCCACGGGGGTGATCAGCATGCTCGATTACCCCCCTGTGCCAAATCCCAGCCCCCTAGCTCAAACTTTGCAAAAAATCGATAAAATCGATAAAAGTGATGCACGATTTTAAAAACTAATATTGTATTGGGAATCCCCATGTTCACTTACCCCCCTGTGCCAACTCCCAGCCCCGTAGCTCAAATTTTGCAAAAAATCGATAAAATCGATATCGATCGATACGAAAAGTAGCCTATGACACCCGCCGGGGCCCGAAGTGTATGTGTGCCAAGTTTGGTCCCGATCGGTTCAGAAATGGAATTTTCTATTCGGAACATACGTACAGACAGACAGACATACATACAGACAGACATACAAACAGACATTCAGCTTTATATATAAGATCTCTTCTCATGTGGGAACTTTAGCCTCCTTACTCCGTCGTGCAGTTTGTCTTACTGCTCCAAATGGTTGAGCGTTTGGAATTACGATGTTGCATCACAATGTTAGAGCCTTTGCAATGCAGGGCGCAAGAAAAAACATCTTTTGAAATTGAAAAGTTGCAGCGACTACATGCTCCACTGTAACGGCAGATGCATGACGCACCATAGTGTGCAGCAAAGTGCAGAGAAGTCCAAAGACGCAGAATTGTAGCAAGCTACTTGTTGAGCTTTCTATGAAGCAAATTGTAGGCCAAAGGCATACCTCACACGATTTCAGTCGCCACGCGATCTTGCAAGTTGCTAATGTCCTCATACTCAATACTGGTAGACTCCAAAGGCACAGCACTTATAACTTTCGTTGGTAGACAAAATGCTCTATCTTCTGTACATTCAGAATCCCTTACGATACATTATGACCAGATGGAGTTGTCAACTCGCGTCGCGACAATCGCGTGAGGTATGTTTCCGGCCTCAGGTAACATAATTTACAACGACATGCTGGCCCTCGAGAATGTAAGGTAACAACAACTACATCTCGAGATTCTCTGCAACAAATCGTAGAATGCTACAACAAGTTACTGGAGCACTCGAAAGATGCGAAACTCTGAGTATTTCCCATATTGAGATTCCTGTAAGGCCTCGGGCAGAGTTTACGCGATTTCATCGCCGCGATTCTCTCAACAAAACAAATAGTTACGAGTCTATTGCATGCCGATCATCTTGCATTTCGGTTGTGATAGTTCACCAACACTTTGACTAATTATCACAACCGAGACGCAAGATACCGAGATGCAATGGACTCGTAACTGTTTGTTTTGTTGAGAATCGCGGCGATGAAATTGCGCACATCTGCTCGAGGCCTAAGACAGTAATATTAAGAAATGCAGTAGTTCCAATCCAGCGGTCGCTACAATTGTCCATAGTTGCTGTAACAATCACCGAGGCCTTTGAAGGCAACGTCCACACAGATTCCCAATTTTTCCATGTTCTTGTGATCCTTAGGGCTATGCATTGAACCTGCAAGCTGAAAGCTGAAAGTATGCATGAAAGCTCCTGCGGCGATGGGAGCGGCACCCCTCTACCGTAAGAGCGCTGCTCGAACATCTCCACCAGAAAGAGAGCACAGCTTACAAGAAAGCTTATCCGAACTTCCGGACATCGGATTTCGGGCTGGCTATCCATCCTCAGGTGTCTGTGATACCCTTTACTCCAAACATATCTGAAACAGCAGCTGTTGTACTCAGGGCCCGGTATGAGGTGGCTTTTTCAATTTTGCAAAAACGAAGTCCCCGCAGATTTCGCTACACAAATACGACATCACCTATGACACGATTAGGAATGGATCACACGAATAACAAAAAATAATGAAACAAATTAAAAGCAGCATTAACAAACGAAAAGGAACTAAAGAACTTCGTATTCACCGAATTGGCGACAGGCTTGCCGCCGCCGTACAAAATATTTAGAGGGCTGTAACTAGGCGAGGAGGAGGGGGCTTGGGGAGATTCAAAAACTCAGTTATAGGGTTTTTGATGTAGAACAAAAATATGCTAAACTTGTGAAAAAATTATGTGAAGGAAGGGAAATTTATGACTTTTTCATTTTACAGCCACCTCAGGTGGCTGTCCAGGTGGCTGTAAAGCCACCTAACTCCGAAAAAAGTTTGCCGCGACATTAATTCACATAACTTTTTCTAATTTTTTGCACATAGTACTATCCCCCCATTGCCCATCTACACATCCATTTTGGCTTCATTTCATTTTCACTTCGCTGTAACAAGCCCTTTGTTTGTTTGGGAGACTATGCTGCCGGCATGCCGGCAGCGTTCCGGCAGCAGATCGAAAGACAGCAGCATGCTCTTCCACAAAAACGATATCCCCTTTGCTTTTTACCTCCAAAACGATATCCAGCCTGCCCGGTAAGCCACCTGTGCCGAGCCCTGGTTGTACTATGTGTATGCCAGCTTTTTGTCCAATCCTCACATGATTTTCAGCAACCTACCGCCTTTTCTTTGAAATCATTTTCCTTTCTGTGGAGTCAATAAAAACAAGGCTTGTATGAATTTCCATCAATGTCAAGCATGCTCTGTTGAGCACAAATGATGTCCTACTGTAGCCGGGGGGGGGGGGGGGGGGGGAGTAGTACAAGTCTGCTTCATTGGATTTTGAGACCACAGTTGTTCTCCATAGTACTCATCAAAAACTAATTAACGTGTTGTGGATGTGACGTGTCAGGCCGAGATAAATTTTGTATCGCCAGCAAACTCAGAGCCATCTATGGGGGCTGTGCATCCTATCCGCACACTGATTGAAAAATAATGCGCGAAGCGGTTGAAAAGATTTGTTTCGAATGCTACAAACTTGTCACAGGCAACGGAGAGCGCCTACACTCCTTCTAATTATCAGCTCTCTGAATTATTGTTACCTGAAACATGCCCTGCATATTGAGAATAACGTAAAGTTGAAAAAAAAAATAAACTCCGTAAAGCGACGCGACAAGGGTTCGAGCACGTTGGTGCTTGAAGCAACGCTGGTCAAATAAGTTTTGTATGGCCCATAGATAGCATGGGAGCGAGTAGCGTAATATCTGATCCATGACGAAGGCGGTCGCCCATAGGTTGAAAGCATGCAAGGCTGGCGCGCGTGGCGCACGAGCAATTGTCGACCATGGGGCGCGCGCACGCTCCGTCAGCAGTGATCCGATAGATGTAATAACTGTAATTAAAGTGTTACAAATGAGGAGTTACGCCAAGATATAAGATCTTCAAATTTGGGAACCTCATAAAAGTGTCATTTCATAAAATTCGATGAACAGTAGAGAGAAGTTCGTGATTCAAACAGGATTCGATAGCACTGTTCACAGAGATTTCAAAGCACTGCGAATTTGCGAGCTAGCTTGCGTAAGTTAGCTACATCTTTCCCGATATAACTCTACCATTAAACTAATGTAAGGTGGCTAAGATGTTTTGCGAACAGCCGGTCCGAAAACCTCTATGAGCGATCTGTTCAATTCGAGATCACTAATTTCAGCCAAAACCTGCGACGAGCTGAAGAGGGACTGAGCAAAAATCAGAATCCCATTTATTCGTTCAACTCCGACTTGCTAACTACGAAAATAACACCTAATTTGCAAGACGACTTCTCACTACACGGTTAGGTAAGCTTGGTGAGAAATCTTTACAGCCAACCATTCCTCACTTCACTTCAAAGCTAACCATTCTTTATTTCACTTCATAGGACTTCTACGCACCAGGAAACTAGAGGACTCTTACCAGATGATGCTGACGATGAGCAAATGATTGTAGGCAAAATGGAATAAGATTAAATACGTGCAAAGTGAGAATTTTAAGCGTATCCTTATAGCATCAATAACTGTGCCATCAAATGAAGTATCAAGTGTTGGTATAACACTAAGTAAATCTGAGCAAAATCTGAATTTGTGCGCAACTGACCACATATCCATTACCT